GGCTGTCCTCCAAGTCCTCCTGTATGGCAATGGCAGATCTGCCACATTGTGCCAGACTCCCCTTCATGCTTTATGTCTGTTATCAAAGAGGGACTCTCATGGCAACTCTATGAGATAGGTTTCTTATCATCTTTGTGTTTGAGGTGAGGAAACTGAAGCCCCAACCCCATTGCTCTAACGTTGGCCTGCCTGGCCTTCCTGATCAGAGAGGGCAAGTAACTTCCCTGAAGTCACACAGCTGGTAAGAGACAGAATCGCTTGTGGGTTAGGGTAATCAGACTCCTGGGGCACAGCAGGGAGGAGAACTAACTCTGAGTGTCTGCTATGTACAAGGCACCTCCATAGCTATTCAGCCCTCCGACCAGTGTCAATCCCAGGCCTCTAGGGACTGCTCCTTCCACCATCTCACACCGCCTCCACATGCCACCCAAAGCGTGTGTGATCTGGCATTCCACATTTTAGAATATGTTTTATTTGATTATAAATAGGAGAATATATAATAAAGACAAGTTATGCTAAAAGTATTTATGGAAAGGAGAGACCTCTGTGGGCTGGAAGCCTTCATGGAAAAACTGGTAACTGAGCCCTTTTTTTCCCTTCCTGTCTAAATAAATGTATTTCTCCCACACAGGCAAATATTTAAAATGTATTTCAAAAGTTAGACTTCTGGAATAAGAAAGGAAAAGAGGGGGTGGGGTAGCTGCTTCTCTAAGAAGCCCATCTGAAAGGGGCTGCTGGGTGGAAGAGGAGGGCACGGGTGAGTGAGGAAAAGCCCGACCCTTTCCCCTATGTGACACCTTGTCGTTTTTGAAGCCTCAGTTTCTTTATCTGTAAATTGAACTAATACTTGAACCGGGGAGAGAAATGTACAGGTTATTGGGAGGTGATTTTGAGACAAACCAGAGGTTCTTGGGATCATTATGAAGAAAGAGAGAAAGGGAATTCTGAGTTGCACCAAGAGTTTAGGATCGGTCCAGCAAAAGATTTCTGGGGGTGGGCAGCAGGGTGGAGAGAGGAATGCAGCCCCTGGAATGAGGGCTGAGTGGAGGTGTGGGGCCTCTTTTGGAGAATTTTGAGCACAGAAGAGATTCTTTGCTGCGTGGGGCCTGGCCTGGTGCTGGGGATTGTATAGCATGCTCATAATTTAAGGTGGCTCCAAAAAGGAGCAGGGCTAGTGGCTGGCACAGCAGGGCACATGACTGGATCCTCCCTAACGAGTGTTCCCCAATGGCCATGTCTGTATGGGGGTACAGGAGCAGCGATGGTAACCCCAAACCCCACCCAGCCAGCCCCAACCCCATTGCTCCAACCTTGGCCTGCCTGGCGTTCCTGACCAGCCACTCCTGAGTGGGCAGCTGCTGGGGGAGAAGGATTTGCTCAGGACAGGATGGTTCTCCCGTTTCCAAAGAGGGCTCCAGTCACACGGAAAAGAGGAACTTTCCAAGTGCCTGCACCCCCAGGAAGATTCTTACCGTGGAAGCCTGGGCCTGGAGACACTGATCAAGCAAAGGTGGGCCTCCCAGGGCTTCCTGGCCACGGCGGTGGGCCTCTGAGTGCATTAAGCACTCCTGTGGACTGGGGAGAGCAGGGAGGAGAACCAGCTCTGAGGGTCTACTGTGTACAAGGCACCGCTGCAGCTGTTATTGTCCTGACAACCGGAAAGGGTGCATAATCGGACCATAACATCTTCGTTTTATAGTTGAGGAAGCTGAGGCTCCGAGAGGTCAAGCGACTGCCCTAGGCCACACAGTGGTGTGGGAGCAGCCAGATCAGTGAATCCAGCACCTGGGCTTTGCTGCGGCCTGCACCCGCTCCTCTTCAGGAGGAATCTCACCCTCCCAGGCAGTCCTTTTTCTCTATAAGCTGCCTTCTCGTGTGGAAGCTGGGTGCCCTGCTACCTAGGTTTCTTGTCCTTGGGGTGGCATGAAGGCCAAGCGATGCAGGCAAGGCGCCCGCAGACTCAAAGGCCAGGCCCTGTCTTCGCGAGCAGACGAATTGCTGTGTGACTGTGGGCCGCTACCGAGCCTCTCTGAGCCTCGCTCTTTCCACTTCTTCCTGGGGAAGCCCCGGGAAAGTTTATTTATAACCTAGCCCCGGGTGTGCCGCCTCGGGAGGTGTAAGCGAGGCCTCGGTTCCCTCACCTGAGAACCAGCTCCCCGGCTCCGGCCGCAGGAGGCGGGTTATGTAACCGGGTGTGCCGCGTGGGGGGAGCCGCGGGGCGGGGCGCTCGCGGCTATTCCGGGCGCCGCTATTTTTAGCCCCATTGATGAGGCTGCGTCGGCCGCCGCCGCCGGGATTCCGGAGACGTCAATGGGCGCGCGTCACGGTCCCCGCCCCGCCCGCCGGGGGAGGCGCGCAGGGGCCGGGGCAGCGCGCGGGCGGCCGCGGGCGCGGGGGCGGGGGGCGCGGCGCGGCCGGAACTGCGGGCGGGGGGCTACCCGGGGGCGGGGGGCGCCGAGCGGCTGCGGCGCGGCTGCTGGAGCGCGAGGCGGCGGTGGCGGCGGAACTGGCGGGGTCCCAGCGTGGCACCCTGGACCCCCGGCCTCCCGGCATGGGCGCCCCTGCGGCGCGGAGCAGCTTCGGGTCAGCTGGTGCGCGACCCCAGAAAGCGGGGGTGGAGAGGCGAGCGGAGCCCTCAGGGCCAGGTGAGGGGCCGTCGGGGTGGCGGAAGGTGGGCCCGGGAGAGGCCGGGCGGTCTCGGGGCCTTGGTGTATGCCTTGGGGCGGGCTCGGGGCCACGCGGGGAGTCCCGCTTGGAAACTAGGGGAGTCGGGGAGAGGGACTGGATTCCCAGCGGAACCTGCTGGCTCCGAGTCAGCCCCCAAGAGCGACGGCCAAGGCTTTCTCTCCCCAGCCCGCCAAGGGTGGGGTTTGGCCCACGAGGGGCGCTGGAGGTGGCCAGGCCAGAGAAATTCCTTCCATTTCCCCGCCGGCTGCGGGAACCGGTTCCAGGAGCGCGGGAGCTCGTCTGCCAGGAGACCCAGCCGGGAGGGACCCATGCTGCGCCATGCAGCCCCTTTGTGGGACTGAGTCGAGGAACCAAGGCTGGGGGTCTCGTGGAGTCAGGCGGAGCTGGGGCTTAGGACTCGGGGTTTGTGTCTCCCAGGCGTGTTGTTGTTGTTGTTGTTTGCCGCAACATCTTCCCTCCTTACATTGGGTGGGGTGGGGGCGGGTATTTCCAGACCTCCTTACCCTGATGGTCTGTGTCGAGGGCCGGGGGCGCAGTTCCTTGACTTTGCTCATTCCTTTTTTATGCCTTCATTTTTGATAGATGACCTGGTGGACTCGAGAAATGCTGCAGAGGTGGTTTTCAGTGAATTGTTAATTTGGGTGTGGGGCTAAATTAGGGGCACATTGGGAAAACGCAGGCTGGGCAGAGGTCGTTAGGTTCCCTACAGTTATGCCCAATGGGTGCTGATGGATTTGGGGGCTGCTGTCGGCCTGGCCTGGGGCCCTAGTGGTGGGGCTACAAGGCTTTCCCCTAGACCTACTCCAAGTGAACGTTCTTATCAGTGACTTGGATGAAGACTTAAACAGGAAGTCAGCCAACTCCTTGTAGTCACCCAGAGCTGTGAGGAGTGACAAGTGCACAGTGTGATAAAGTCAAGATTCTAATTGAAGGCGCCGGGGCAGAAGGATGGGCCGAGATTAATAATGTGAATGTGACTGACATCCCTGTTGAGGCCCGTGCTGAACTCGAGAAAATCAGCTGAGGAGTTCAGGCCCTGTGCCTGGCTCAAAGGCCCTTAGCTTCTGACCTGCTCTCTGGACAGAGGTTGTGGGACTCTCTGTGCGTGTGCACCCTCCATCCACTACACAGGTCCAAGCGGGTGGCAAGGGGGAGGAAGGATGCTTGATTCTGGACTCCTTGGTTGGGCTCCCTGGGTTCTAATCCCAGTTTTGCCAGTTCCTAGCTGTGTGACCTTGGACAAGTTGCTTAACATTAGTTTCCTCACTGGTAAAATGTGCATAATAATAATCCTGTCCTCATAGCATTGGGAGGCTGAAATGAAACAATGCATCTGAAGTGCTCAACAGTGTATCTGGCACATGTCTAACAAATATTAGCTGCTGTTGTTGTTGCTAATAATAGTTATAAGCCCATTTCTGGGTGGGGACATTGGCCAATGCAGAGCTTGTACTCAGGAGGCCACCAGGGCCTGTCAGGCAGAGGGCCTGTCAGCAGTGTCCTGTTGCAACAGGCAGTTTAGTTAAGAAATGGCTAAAATAATTGTTAGGAAGGACTAGAATGAGGCTTCCTATGGGCCAGTACAGGGGGCAGAGCTGGGATCCAGGGCTGGGGAATTTTAGAATCTGGGTTGTGATTCAACATAAGGAAGAACGCTCTGGCTCTTGGATCTGCCCCCAAAAGGAAGGGACAGCTCCTGAGCTGGAAGGCTCTTCCCTTCTGAGCACCTGCCAGTGCTGAGCAGGGTTTAGAGACTGCAGACTCCACAGTGATTGAGAGGGACAACATCCTTAGATTCTGGTTGGGTAAACAGGTGATAAACCAGTGAACAGATGTGAACACTAGACCTATGGTGAATAAAATCAGGCTAGTGTGGTGGGGTGGGAATGCAGGCTCTTTAGGGAGATGACATGGGAAATGAAACCTGATTGATAAGGAAGAGCCAGTTCTGGGCAGAGGGAATGAACAGTGCAGAGACCCTGAGTGGGGAGAGAGGCCCACGTGACTGGAACACAGTGAATGGCTGGGAAATGAGGTTGGTAGGCGGCAGGAGCTAAGGACCGAAGTCTGGCCTGATGCTCCACCCCATTTTGGGGGTCACTTGTCCTCCTTTTTTTTTTTTTTGAGACTAGTCTCACTCTGTTAACCAGGCTGGAGTGCAGTGGTGGGATCTTGGCTTACCACAATCTCCGCATCCCGGGTTCAAGCGATTCTTCTGCCTCAGCCTCCCAAGTAGCTGGGACTACAGGCATGTGCCACCATGCCCGCTGGTTTTTGTGTTTTAGTTGAGAAAGGGTTTCACTGTGTTGGCCAAGCTGGTCTCAAATTCCCGACCTTGCGATGTGCCTGCTTCCGCCTCCCAAAGCGTGAGCCACCGCAACCAGCCACTTTCACCTCCTCCAAGCCCACTCAGCCTTTGGTTTGCCCTCTGCACAGTGCAGATTGTACTTGACCTTGGTTCATCCCCGGTCAGCTCCTGGGGCTCTGAGATCTTGCTGTGCGCATTCTTGGCTCTCCCATTGTTCAGGGGACACTGCCTGGCTCCCAGGGGGTCCTCAGTAAATGCTTGTGGTGTGACTATAGAGGGATGCATTTTGATCTGGGACAAGCGGGGGAACAGATACCTGTCTGAAGATGTTATGAATCATTTGTGGGCACCATGTGGTGCCAGACTCTGGCCCCTGTTCTGAGAACCGGACGGGGAAGACCTGGGCGCTCAGGTTGGGTCTGACTGTGGTAGGTGGTATTTGGCCCACCCTACCCTTCCTCCTCAGCAGTGGGTTGGTAGGGAGAAAAGACAAGGCTGGGGAAACTACAGACCCATTACTGGGAATGGAAGGATGACACTGTCACCCTGGAAAGCAGGTGTAGTCCATGGGCTAGGGCAGGTTGGAAGCCTCGTCTTGCTTTCTGTTTGGGGTTAGAGGTGCTCTAGATGTTTCAACCTGCCCTCCCTTTCCTCCTTCTCTCCCGTGGCCTTTTCCTCCTCCCCTACAGAATTGGGAGGGAGGGGTGCTGGCAGTGTTGTAAGGGGAGAGCCTGGGTACTGTGGGCCGGAGGACCTCCCCATGGCCTGGGGACCTCAGGCAGAGGTCAGGAGGGGGAGGAATCCCATTGCCCACCCTCTGGGGTCCTCCTCCTCTTTGCCCCTCCTAGCTCCCATCATCTCCTTCTCTTTTATCAGACCTCATCTCAGTCTGAGGGGCAGTCCAATAGCTAGTGAAGACATGCTCTTGCCTTCACTCTGGGGTGTGGTTGAAAAGAAAGAGCTCTGGAGGGGGTGGAAGAAGAGAAGGGGAGATGTGGGTCGGGGGCCCTGGCTGAGGGGGGCTTTGGCTCAGTGGGGTTGGGGGAGAGGCCGGGGTGTGGGGTGAGGCACACAGTTGGTTTCCACCCTGGAAGGAGAGGTCAGCTGCCCAGTGCTGCCTTGGACTAGGAACCAGGGTCTGGGGCTAGCTCTTATGTGTGCGTCCTCATGGAACTTCTCCTGATAATGGTACGTTGCAGATGTGCGTATCCAGCACTGTTATAAATCTTTTACAGGTTAACTTGTTTTAAGCCTGCTGATAACCCTGTGATTGTTAATTTTAGAGATGTCATCATTTTTACAGATGAGGAGCATGAGGTACAAAGAGATTACATAATTCACCCAAGGTGACAAGAAGTGGAGCTAGGATTTGAACCCAGACAGTCTGGGATCCTGCATCCGCTCTACTTTAAGTTGGGCCTTCCCATTTGGGGACTGGAGTCCCATCCCAGAAGATTTCTAAGAGTCCCCATTGCTCTGATTACAAGGCTGGGCTGCCTGATTCAGGGGCATGGAGCCCCTGCCTTTTAGGGACCTCCGAGGCTTTAGGGCCCTAACTGGAGCCCCTAAAGGAGAGAGGGGTATTCCACTCTGTCCTCATGATAGCTCTCTTCCTGTGCCTGCAACATGCCCTTTTGGACCGTCAAAGGCCGAGAGCCGGGAGGGGTATGAGGCAGAGGGGCTAGGTGCTGATGTGTCTGTATGGCTCTGAAATACTGTCATCAGCTCCTGGCCATGCCCTATACCCCTGGAAGCAGGTTGCCTGGGGCTTGGGCCCCAGGCTCTGATGCCTAACCCAGGGAGGTCTTTGGGCTGGCTTGTTCTCCTCTTGTGGCCTGGGTCCTGTCACTGCTCCCATTCCTGTGTGTCCTGACCACTGCTGTCTCCAGGGAATGTGCTTGCTACTCACATCCACTCTCCCTCTGTAGGCCTCCACCATGGACAGAGGCCAGGCCCTGCCCCTCCCAGGCAGCCTGGCTCTTGCTGGGCCCTGCAGGCAGAAGGGATAATGTGTGTTGGCCAAGGCCTGTTGGTCCATCCAGAGTGGTAAGTGCTCTGCTATTGTCCTTTGTATGCCCCTGGCCCCCCTCCCCCTCCAGCAGGTGGGGTTAGGGGGCAGAGGTGGGGGTGGAGCTGCCCAAAGCGGATGTGGTTAGGGGGACGGAGGGGAAGCCCTGCAGAGGTGGCAGGCAAGCTGCTGTTCAGTGTGGGGGATCTGATTTCTTCAGAGGTGGGGGTAATGTGGGTGTGGGGACTAGGGAAGCCTTACTTTCTTGGCAGGATAGGCTGGAGGGCTCTGGGCCCAGGTGACACAGGCTGGTGGGAGTGGGGGATGACAGCTGCTCCCAAGGCAGCTTTTGCCTGGTTCTAGGAAGCAGACAGGGTGGAGTAGGGTAGCTGGGGGCTGGGCTGGGAGCATCATGGGGCAGACGTGGCAGCAGGGAGCTGGCCTGTCTCTGTGGTGTAGACACTTCTCCAGGTGAGTGCATGAAGGGAAGGCCGGGGACCCCCGCCCCCTGCAGAAAGCATGATGCCTGCCTCTCCTCACTGTGCTAGGCCTGGGGGCCTATGGAGTCTGTGGTGTAGGGGGTGGCCTTTGTGAATGGGAAGGCAGGGACAGGCCTTCCACTACTGGTGATCTAGCACATCTCCTCCACTTAGAAGAGGAGACTGAGGCACAGAGGGGAGAAATGACTTTTCCAGGGTCCTGCAGTAAGGATGTATAGAGCCAAGCTCAGAATCTATGCCTCCTGGATGGCTGGCAAGCACAGGCACCTGGTCTGACGGTAGAGGACATACCTTCTTTGTCTGAGGGTGCTTCCAGAGAAGGCCCATGCCGATATGTGGGTGAGAGGTGGAGGGTGGGAATGGGATTTCCCTCAGGCCTTTCCTAGGGACATGAGATGGGGCTAAGGGTACTGGAGTCCTGGTTCTGTTCCTGAGGAAGCTGGAGCTCCACCTTGCACCCCAGACAGAGGCCATGAGATTCCCTTCCTCCTTCCCTGGAAGAGGGCCGTCTCTGAGCAGCAGCCCTCCCAGACCTTGAGAGATCCCAAAAGAAGCAGGAGCTGGTTCAGTATCTCCTTCAGCTTCCCAAACAGTTGCCTCATGGGGCATTCAGGGTGCAGAAAGCCCTGGAGAGGTGGCTGGGGTGGAGAGGACAGGGTGTCTGCTTGAAGCCTGGAGGGAAGGGGGACACCCTGGGAAGCAGGGCCTCCTGTTGTGGGGGCAGGGCCGGGTGTGTGCCTGGCCTCCCAATGGCGATGGCGGCAGGTGCCGTACCACCAATCTCGGGCCAAAGACAGGGAGAGGAATTACTGTAAGTGGGAGAGGCAGGTGTTCTCTGGTCAGCTGAAGATCTGGACTTGGGAAGCACGTGAGTGAAGATGACAGCAGTGGCCAGGTGTCCCTCCCTCAACTCGGCCCCCACATTCACCCCCAGTCCAGACCCGGCTTCCTGAGCACCCAGCCCTCCCTCTGGGTACACAGCAGCCCTGGTGGGCAGAATTCCCTGTGTTTACCTTGTTGTCTGGGTGATGGTGGTGATTGGGTGGAACTCCTATGCCAGATACACTGCCAAGGCCACCCTGAGGGGCTGCCAACCAGGGCCCCATGAGTGCTAGAGCTGCTGGTCTTGTGACGTGGGCACCTGTGTGCCAGGCCCGGGCATGGGCCCAGGGTCACGCTCACACCGGGGCTCCCATCAGCTGACTATTTTGGGCTCTTGCTGACCTGGGCCAAAGTCAGGCCCAGCCAAGAGGGCCCAAAGTGGCTCCCCCCATCCCCAGAGGCCGGCTCTGGTTTCTGCTATAAAAACAGAGGAGGACACGCCGGCTTGGAGGCAGCACCACATCCAGAGCCCGCTCAGCTGCTGCCCGGCCTTGGCCACAAGGATAGGCTGGCTGGGCAGCACCTCTCTCCCCGCAGGGCTCCCTGAGGCCTCCAGGAAGAGCCCCCAACCAATCTTGGGATTCTCCCTTCATGCGGTTGTCTGGGACCTTCATCCAGGGTCAAAGCAGGTCGTGAGGAGGAAGCTGGTGAGTCTTGGAACCGGGACATTGAGGAATGGGAGCTGGGCTGTTTGGATTTTTTCCCATTTTGACTGTTGTGCCAAACCCTTTGGCCTTGGGTTTGGGGGAGGAAGCAAGGGTGGCTGGCCATCGGACGCATGCGAGTGCAGCTTGACCCCAGTTGGAGAGCGGTAGTTGGACTTGGGAACACTGTGACTGAAAACCAGGAGAGGCGGACAGAGACAGGTGATGCGGTCCAGTTCCTTCTTTGAGCTTCCCCACAGGGCCTCTGTCCTCCTCTCCTGTCCACCCCGCCTGGGCGAGGCACTGGCCACTGCAGCGAGTTTTTGGTTTCCATCAGGGTACCTCAGAATTGGCTTCTGAGCGGAGCCGCGGAGCCCCTGAGCCCCTGCTGGTTGGGACCGAGTGGCTGGGCCAGGGGCTTGGCGTCCTGCTGAGCCCTCAGCCCCTGGCCTGCCCCCTTTGCCGGGCCTCCCAGTTGCTTTGGGTGCCTGAGAAGCAGGGCTGGAGAGAGGTCTGGCAAGTCTGCCAACCAGCTTGCCACAAACACGCTCCGGGACCTGGGCCAGGGGCTTTGGCCCGGCCTGGAACAGGCAGCAGCTCCTTACGTGGGAGGCTCCTGTGCTCTCCTTCCCAGTTCTCAAAAAAAATTTTTTTCCCCTTTCTGAACGTGAGTCTTTAAACGAATCCAGAGCCTGCGACTAAAAATACTTTAACAATAGGAAAGTGCATCAGTCTTTCCGGCTGGGACTCGTTATCAGAGGGTTTTTATTTTGGAATTTGAAATTTTGCCCGCCTAGGCTGGGTGGAGACCTTGGGCAGAGGCAGGGGAATTTGGTGGGTGTTGATGTTCTGCAGGGTGGTGGGAGACCCTCCAAGGCGAGAGGAGAAGGGAGCTGGCCAGGAGCTGAACAGACTGAGGGGGAAACCAAGGGAGGTTCAAGGCAGGGGCTGACCTTTCCCAAACTCCGTGATCTTGTCTGTGTTTTCCAGCCCCTCTGGCTGTTCTTCCTGAAGTCTGATCTTACTCTTTTGTGCTGGATGTGAATTTCTCCTGGTCTGAGAGGGAGGGAGGTACGGGTAGCGAAATCATTGGACTAAAGATAGCCTCTGTGGTCATAGTCTGACCTCCTTAACTAACTAGCTCTCTCCAGAGTATTAATTGAGCACTTGCTGCATACACAATCTGGAATTCTCCCAGAATTCTTCCCACTACAAGGCGTGCTGGGTAGAGCCACATCTCTGGGCTCACTCTTGCTTCCTCTCAACTTAGCCTGGGAGCAGGAGAGAGACAGATGGGGTTACTGTTTGTCTGTAGTTCCTGGAGCAGGAGGGCTGCTGGCTCCCTTGTCCAGCTGAGGACTCTGCTGTCTCCTGTCCCTGCCACCCACCCTCCCTGCCAGCCCCAGGATTCTGCTGTAGGCTGCTGTGGTTGTCCCATTGCAGACATGAGTTCCACAGGGCCGAGTGTGAGACGGGTATGTGTGGATTTTGGTATATGGGATCCTGGAACCCATCCCCCTGTAGCACTTCCCCGTGCCCTGGAGGTACTGCCTGCTTCCTGACTTCCACCCTCCCTTCCCATCACAGGTTTCCCCTGACAGTGGGGGAGCCCAGGCCCCAGGCAGTGCTACATTTGGATTCTGAGCTTCTCCCTTCCGTGGTGAACTGAATTCTCCCAGCACTGGGACTGGTGTTGTCTGCATTAGGCAGATGAGGAAGCTTGGAGAGGACAAGGGACTGGCCTCAGGTCACATATCAGGCTTGCTAGCTCCTGGTCAAAGATGCCTCTGATAGCTCTTCCATCTTTCGCCCCTGCTGAGAGCTAAGGGGAGGAGTGGGGGCACTGGTTGACCTGACTGCGTCCCTGGGAGCCTGATTTTGGGGAGGTAATGATACGTGTGCTCATGGTAGGGCTTGGGCAAGGGCCAGGAGAGCAGAGCCAGGGACCTGGGCCTGACCCTTCACCCCTGGTTCCCAGAGCTAGCTGCCCATGGGAAGCCCCCGGGGCAGCAGGCAGTGCTTCCCTGCCCACAGTACAAATCCCCCTGCCCACTGCCAGAGCAGGAGGAGGAAGTGGCCAGGTCAGGGCTGGCAGTAGGCCCTGGGGTCAAGGAGGGGAAGCTCCCAGGGCAACTTCTGAGTGGGAGAAGGCAGGCGAAGCTTACTCCTTCTGCCTACCCCAGGGGAAGGGCGTGGAGGCCCGTGGGTGGGGACAGTCTTAGTGAAAGTAGGGCAAGTTCCTGACCTCTGCTTAGTAGGGGCGGGGCCCAACCCAAGGTGGAGGGCCAGCGTGGGAAAGGGACTGTGTAATTCCACTTCCTTCTGTTTACCCATCTCCACCCCCACCCTCTGGGCTGGGGAATGGTGGTAGACATTGGCTGCTCATTTGGGTCCTGCCCTGAGCTACTTACTGCTGATAATGTACAAAGGGTCTTCCCACCAGGGGGTAGGAGGCAGTGTCCTTTTCCTCATGGTGTTCACATACTGGTGGGCGAGGAGTGGGTCTGAGTACACGGTAAGTCCCTGGGCCCCATAAGGTTTGACTAGGAGGGGTAAGGGCCTGGTGAACTGCTCAGAAAATACACTGTGTTATCAGCAGGAGGGCCCCTTTCTAATGAGAGATGATGGTGCATCCACTCCTAACCATACTTGTTTTCTATCTGTTGATAGAACAAATACATAATGAGAAACAGCCACCATGCTTTCAGAAGCTCACACTTGAATGAATTTGTTCTGAATAAATTCCAGCTGCATCTGCATCTATATGAAGAAGTATGTCTCTCTCATTCAGCCGTGGCTATTTTAAAATAAACTTTGGGGAGAGTATAACATACATACAGAAAAGTGCACACATCATAGGTGTACAATCTTATTATTATTATTATTTTTTTTTGAGACAGGTTCTCACTTTGTTACCCAGGCTGGAGGGCAGTGGCTCGATTATGGCTCATTGCAGCTTCTGCCTCCTGGGCTCAAGCAATCCTCCCACCTCAGCCTCCTGAGTAGCTGGGATTACAGGCACGCACCGGCCACACCTGGCTAATTTTAAAAATTTTCTTGTAGAGAAGGGGTCTCACTATGTTGCTCATGCTAATTTCAAACTCCTGGGCTCAAAGCAGTCCTCCCTCCTCAGCCTCCCAAAGTGCTGGGATTTCAGGCGTGAGCCACTGAAATCTTAAGATTGGAGTACAATCTTAAGAGTACAGTTTGATGACTTTTCCAGAGTGAACATGCTTGGGTGATTATTGTCCAGATGGGGAACTAGAATGCTTCCATTTCCACAGAAGCCCCATTGTAGATACCTCTATTTTCAGCTTAGAGGTTGTGTGTGTGCCTGGTTTTGTGGTTCACTTATAAGACTCAAGACCCATGGGGCCAGAAGCCACAGCCTCTGGAGGTTAGAGTTCAGGGTAGTGGGTCCTGCAGAAAACTGGGATTTAGGGGACCTAAGTTTCAATCCTATCCTTGAGCCTCTGCTTCCGCCTTTATACAACGCAGATTGTAATTCCAAACCTGGAAGGGCTGGGCGAGTGTTAAATGGAAGAATCCCTGTGAAGTGCCCTGGCCAAGGTCTGACCCACTCCCTGTGAGAAGGAGCTTATTATCAATGAGTTGGTTGGATGTAATGACTTAGAAATTTAAAAAAAAAAGAAAAGAAAAGAAAAAGAGGGGAAAAAAAAAACAGAGATGGGCTGCTACAGGCTCTAAGCTGAAGTCTTGGAGGATCAGCAGGATTAGAATAGAAGGAAGAAGGGAAACAGTGTGCCCAGTGGGTGAAACTGTATGTACAAAGTGGGTGGCGGGAAAGTTCAGCTCAAGGTCCTTATATGGGTTGGTGGGGAACTGGGGTGATGAGGGCAGGAGAGTAGGCTGGGCCACGGTGTGGGGGCCTGACTGGGTGGGGCTGTCTCTTGCCTCCAGCCTGACATCTTCTCTCCCTGCCCTACCTTCAGATCCCTGTCTCTAGTTTTGGATACCTCTCTCATTACCTTTCCCTCCTACCCCGTCTCCCTGACAATAAGCTGTTTACTCTGACCTTGTTCTTGAAGGCTAGACTTGGTGGGGGGGGGAGGTAGGTGTCCATTGGGAGTCTCTGGCCATTGTGGGACCAGCATTTGCTTTAGGCCTCCCAAAGTCCACATCAATTGTGCCTTTCTCCAGAGTTCCGCTAGCTGGACTCCACTCTCTCAGAGCATCAGGCCGTCCTCCCTGGAGGGCCCACGAGGCCTGGGATCCCCAAACCCCTTTCACCTCTCTGGCCTCTAAGTGTTCCACGTGGAAACCTGCATGGGTGGCCCCAGCTGTGTTCCTACAGACGGCCTTTGCCTTTTTCTCCTTATTTACTTATTTTCAGAATGTGGTGTGTTGAGCACTCTCACCATCCCCTGCAAGCATGGCCAGGTGGCAGCTGTAGTTCCTTATCCTCCTCCAGGCTTTAGGGCAGCAGGTCTGCAGCCTCCATAACCTGCAGTGGCTTGGGGAGGTGGGGCCTGGGCTGCAGGCCCAGATCTGGAGGCTAGATGCTGAGATTCAGACCAGGGTCCTGGGCAGCACCTCACCACACTCGGTTTCCCTTGGGCTTATGGGTGGGCCTACCCCCACAGGATGGTCTGTGTCACTTTTTACAAATGCCAAGTTGTGAGGAGAGGAGGGTGCCTGAGCTTGAGGCTGGTTCAGCTCTCAAAGAGCTAGCAAGGCTGAGATTGAGCACAGGCTGGTTAAGCCACAGATAATGCACCTGTTCTTGCTGGTTGGTGGGAAGAACATTGGCTTGGCTGATCATCTTTTGCTACCTATTAAAATTCGTTTTACTTTCTAGGGAAGGCCCAGCTGGGGTGGAGGGAGACATCCTGGGGCAAAGCAGGTGCTAGGTGAGAAAGCCAGCCTGTGACACAGCCAGGACCAGTTCCACCCAGCAAGTCTTGCTGTGTGCTCCTGAGCAAGGTGTAGCTCCTCTTGGAAACTTTGGCTCCTAATATGCAAAATGGGAGGACTTGAATTCT